CCTTTAAAGGCAAGGAAAGGCTAAAATAATTTAAGTCAAGTGATAGCGATTGCTGTATGAGTCGTACGATTTTTGAATCAAGCACGGGCAACGCCGGGCCATGCTGCTAGTGGTCAATATTTATGAATAGCACTTCAATTCACCCTTAACATTGCTGCTCGGTTTTATTAAACTAAAGTTCATTCCCTATCTTCTTAAAAGAGTGACAGTATATATCGAATATTATATGCATAAATAGAAAAAGGATCACAAAAAATAGAAGTAAAAAAGAAATATCATTAATTCTCTTCGAGATTTAAAATCAGACATATCGTCTACGACTGTTGTTGCATAATATACTGTATTGCACATGCGCAGTTATGTAAGAACCGTATTTGTCTAAGTGCGATTTTGAACATGGCAGCCGTCTGACCTATACGTTAAAATGAGCTAATGTTTCCATTTTGATAAAGCTATGCATGAGATAATATTTTCTGGGAAAATTATATGGGTAAATTGATTAATACTTGAAAGTCGAAGATGTATTCCGAAGCAGAGATAGGAACTAAGGAAAAACAAAAGCAAAACCTTTGCCCAGATAGCAGTTACGGGAAACGATTTTCTCAATACAGAGCAGAGAAAATACATAGTAACGAGATTCTATGATGGGGTTTAATATATTCATGTCCTACATTCGTACATAGGCGAAAGATTAATGTCCACCGCAAAATACGTTATTAATCATAAAAATTAAAATAAGAACCCCTTATTGATTATAGGCTTTGACGGACTTTATCCACGTAAATGCAAGAATTTTAATTTGCTACATTTATTTATAAACAGAAGTAAAGTTGAAGAAAGTTTTTCACTTGAAAACGCTCTAAAATATACTTAAAGTGAAATATGGTGGAATCTATGTGATGTAATTTAATGCCTAATGAATTAAATTGTGTAGTGTTGCTGTTGGTGGTGTTGTCGATGTTGAATTTTTATGTGTTTATATTAAGTTATTGTTTTAAATGTAATTAATATTTATTATTTTATTTTTATTTAATCAATGATTCATGTAATATACTTATTTTAAGTTAAATAAACAGAAATTTAGTAAAGAAAATTCATTTTGACTTTATTACATTTATTCTTATTGTTTAATTACAGATATATTCTATCTAAATTTGAATTCTTACAAACCCCACACAGTGTAAATATATATATATATATATATATATATATATATATATATATATATATATGTGTGTGTGTGTGTGTGTGTGTGTGTGTGTGTGTTGTGTATTCGGCGGGGATTATTGTGTTCTTAGTTATAGACTTCATATTTTTTACACAGACACACATGCACACACACACACACACACACACACACACATACACATATATATATATATATATATATATATATATATAATATAATATTTTCTGTTTAAAAATATGATTCCTTCGCTACATAAGAGTTCTCATGTTTCAAAAACGAGAGCCGAAACCCTCCGAATAATTCTTAAAATTAAATTGAATTGAGGTGTTGTGTCCCGTTTCATCTCTAAGCGAAGGGTTTTGGCTCTCGTTTTTGAAACACGAGAACTCTTATGTAGCGAAGTAATCATATTTTTAAACAAAAAATATTATAATATAGCCGGGTACCTTTATCCACATGGCACAGTAGATAAAGGCGTTGGTTAGATCTAGTGACAGGACACAAAGAGTGTGAGTTCAATACACGGTTAACGCAGTGGAAAACTTTCATTGGGAAATTAACAGGAAATAACTGATAACTGACATCCATCAAACATGGCACGTGGAACTAGAACAGTCTACCCTAGTGAGCGAAATAAAGGGTTCAGTTCGACATTCCAACCACCTGAAGAAGGCCGGAGCGTACAACGGCCGAAACGTTGTGATAAATATGGCGACAAAGATGAGGACAATAGTCCGAATAATGTAAATAATGTACATAATACCTCATCTCAGAAATATAGACATCCTTAGCTATATTTAACCTATATTTAATACTTGGTGTGGGATACTTTTACTTTCATAACTGTCTTTATGCACTTTTCTACATTGGAAACCAAGTTAGCGTAAGTAGTTTGCTAGATTCTCTGCCATTCCTCATGAAGTTTGGCTTCTAATCCACATTTGGAAGAATATTTGTGCAACCTCACTCTTGTACCTAAGCATGACCCCAAATTTTCAGTGGTATTCAGGTCAGAGGATTGAGAAGGGCACTTCATTACCTTCGCTTCTTTCTTTTCAAACCAATCTTTCGAAACTCTGGATGTGTGACATAGTGTATTGTCTTGTTGGAAGATTACTCCATCTGGTATGTTCTTCTTGAAAATTTTCTCTAATGAATTTTGATAACATTTGTCTAATATGTTTGTGTAAGTGTTGGAATTCATTCTATCTTCACATGTGAATAAAATTCCTGCGAAGTCTTCAAAAGACGACATGTAGTCCCAAACCATTACGTTCCCATATCCAAATTTTAAAGTCGGGGCAAATCTTCGAGCATTATATGAATTCCAACTCTTCAACAAACATAAATAAAATCAGTGGTCCCAAACATCAGATAAAAATAAGTTTTAGGGATAATTTTGTATTCACTAAAATACAGTAATTATAGGCGTAATATAATCAACGATGCTCAATAAATTAGTTTTAATTAATAAAGTAACTTATTGCAAAGTTGCTTTTATCAAACCAGGCAACTTTGACCCAATCCTCAGCCGTCCAATTTCCATGCTCTTTTCTTAAAGTAAGTCTCTTTTACTTATTGACCTCAGACAATATATTTTTTCAAGCTGTACATCCTTTGAAACCAGCTTCTACTAATCTTCTTCTCACTGTACGAGTTGATAGTACTTTGTTTACTGCCTCTTGAAATTCAGCAGTCACGTTAGAAGAGTTTTTCCCTATCACCTAGAGAAACCCGCGTCCCTTGATTTTGTAAAACGTTTCCAGCCTAAATAATCATTTTTTTTTTAAAGAATTGGTTCCGTTATATCTTTTAATTGTTTCTTGATACACCATTTCTTGAGGATTTCACTTTTCGTGGAATTTTGACTTGGGATTACCCTTCTTTGAACAATGCAATAATTTCAGCCCTTTTAGCTCCAGGCATGTTTTTATTCGGAGAAATTTTCGGCAAAGAAGAAGCACTTATAAATTGATACTAAACTTGTTACTAAAATTTAGAAAAGATTTAGCACTACAGATTAATTTTCAAATAAATGATTTTGCCACTTTTGCTAAATAACTAGAAATGAATGTTGTCCATGATGACGGTCGTCTTTGAGTATAGAATCCAGAGGTTAGCATGAATATTTCGAAGACAGTAGGGAAGCGTAGTTCAGGTTAACAGTGGATATCCCGGTAAAGTAGCAGAGCCTCTCTTCGCCTGACAATTTTGCACTGGACATTTGGATAGAGTAAACAAAATGGCCGCCTTTATACACGACAGATTGAATATTCTACGTCTTCTGATTGGTTAACCTTCTATTGGTGAATTATAAAGTGAGTCAAGTCATTTGAGCTAACTCACTAGTACATAATACCCCAAAAACTGCAACAATGAAGACAAATCATTATTGTTCATCATAAATGCCAGTGAGACGTCAATTCGTTATAGTATTTTTCAGCTAATATATGAACAAGTTTCAATCACATTTCTAACTTTTCTACACCCACCGCATAATTTTGTTCTTGGATGTACTTCTGATTTTTATTGTTGTTTTTAAGACAGTGTACATTACATCTGTCAACCTACAAACCTAACAAAATGTCCTCTCCATCAAATTTATGGCACCAAAATAGCTAAAAATATATCCTATACTGGCTTTTATTCAAAGGTATCTGGCAGTATAATGTTTTTTCAGTTCCTTTAGACTACCAGTGCTTGTCTCTTAGCCCAGCTTCATAGTTATTTTCCAAGCGTAGCTTAGATGTGGCACAAGGCCGAAAGTATGGGGCATCTAGTGAGGATGGAACACATTTTTCAGTTGTAACTGATCTAGCGAGACAAGCTTGCTAACCATTACACCACGCCAAGGTGCCCTTAGCCCAGCTTCATAATACTGTAATATTAATTCCACATACAGATAAATATCTTAAGAGGAGTGAAACCAATGGCAAATATTGTAATCGTAATACTAACTGTTTTCCTAAATGGAAACATTTGGAATTTATTGACTGAGATGCCAGTACTGCTTTTGTTTGAAGTTTATAAAATCTTTCTCTTAAAATAGATTTTTCAAGTCAAATAGCTGTTTCCAGTATTGACTGGTATCCATAAATATCACTGAAACATAAATTCAAGAATGCTTATTATAGTGTTTTCAGCTAATGTATGTACGAGTTTCAATCATATGTGTAATTTTCTACATCTGCCCCATAATTTTGTCCATGGCTGTATATTTAGAGATCCTAGATATAATCCAAAGAAGAATTTGCAATGTTATTTGTCGTGGCCTGGCATCTCGGCCTCAGCCATTTTCCCGCCGCTGTAACATAGGTTCGTTGTGCCTTTTCTATAAATACTTTCATGGTAATTATTCTGATGAACTTTCCTCTATGGTACCTGGACTTTATGGCTTTAAGCGCAGTACTAGATTGGCGGCAAGGTCTCATCATTTTGCAGATGAAATGGATAGATGCAACCGTAAGTTCTATGTTAACATTTTCTTCTATTGCACTTTCTCTTGTAGAACTATCATCCGTCTTGCTACCCTGTCAAATTTGATCTTGAAAAATTTAAACGCAATGTCAATAGTTATCTTCTGTTTTCTTAAGTGCTGGTCTTTTATTGTCTTCCTTCTTTCCTGACGTTTTATTTCTTATTGTCTTGCTTGGGTTGTTTTTGTTTTTTTAATGAAAGTAAAGACGTCTTACAAATGAATAATTAATACAATAGTTAGTGCAGCTAATTAACTGGAAAATTTTGGGTTAGATTTCGTTAATATATCTCTCTTTTCCGAATTATTCAATATTGGCGCTTGTACCCTGGGAGCATGTGCTTCCTCTCACATGCAAATCATATTTTTTGTCTATCATTCACAGATATTAGACTTATCACCGTCAGAGATATTAATGAATACGTGAGTCTTCAGTGTTGCTATTTTTTACAGTATACCTGCCATTGAGATTTCGACACGAAGGCCAGTCCGTACAGTATGTCGTTTCCAAATTCCTGGCAGAGTGAATTGCGTCATGGTGCTCTTTTTCTCATAGATATTGCCCAACTGACCCTATTGTGCAATCGAAAAAAAAAATCAAAAACAAGCAACACGCATGCGCGAAATTTAAACTATGATATGGCGACAATTTACCCATCACATCCTGTAACTATGGAGTTTTTTTTTTTCTTTTGCAACGAATCTTATTGTTTTTGAAAAGACGTCAAGAATTCCGTCTTGAAATAATGTGATATCACCTATTCTCTTCTGAGGAAACCGTTTTCTTTCTTGAACAACTTGTGCGGAGATGTTTAACCGCCGAGAGATTTTTCTTTTCTTTTAGTACAATTTAATTATTTTTTTTTATTATTATTTTCGACACATAAATCAAGAGACACTGCCAGAACCGACAATTATTGTGCTATTGACACTTACACTCAATCAATATTATTCATAAGTTTTGTTCTGAACGCATAATGGGTCAATTTGACATTAATACTATCGTACAAACCCCACCAGCACCATATTTCCAAGTAGCTTGTCCATAAAGATATTAACTACCCTAAGCCATTCGCTGAATTGTACGGTCATGAAAATTCGGAAGTAATCGGGAAATTCCGTGGGCACATATACGAACCATGTATTCAAATTAATAGAAAAGGCATGATTTTTTATTTTTATTTTTAATAACTTAGTGTTATATAGAGTCGATATTTAGGATCAAAATTGAGTGTAACTGATTTTAAGTTGATCGAAGTCTTTGTAATTGCATTATTTGCTCGATTTTAGATAAATTGTAGAAGTTTTTTTTTTTTTTTTTAATTAACCCTTCAGTTGAATCTTCTATATGTCTCACAACCCCTCATGACGTTGACGACCATGACTCTCCACAACTTCCTGTCTCTTGTCGCTCTTAGTAAACATTGTATTTTTGTTATTTCTTCTTATTCATGTTCTACCATCCATTTACTCAAGTTCCTTAAGTATGTTATGTTTTGTCCATCTCTGCCCCTTTTGACCTCTATCTGTGACGTGATTATCAGATTTTTCAAGCCCCCTACTCCCCGTTATGTGCCTCGGTAACCTCAACTCCATCTTCCTGATGCTAAGTAATATATATATATATATATATTTCCATTTTTTCCAAAATTTCGTCTCTACTCACCTTTTTGGTCCACGGTATCCTCAGCAACCTTCTGTAGAACCACATCTTAGTTGCTTGAAGTCTCCTATTCATCTTTGAGGAGACCGTGTAGCACTCACTGCTGTAGGTATCCGCTAACATTTTAGTACTCTTTTCTTTGTTTCTAGAGAACTTTTCCTATTTCTTAGTATACTGTATAACCTTTGAAATGCTTTCTCGGCTATCTCAATACACCTTCGGATCTCAGTATCGCTCTTTCCAGGCTCTCTTAAAACTCTGTACAGATATTTAAATTTCCGCATTTTTTTGATTTTGCTACCTTCCATTTTGATCTCATCTGCTAACAACCATGCCTTTTGTCTTATTACGTTTATGATAAGGGAAACGTATGAAATTATTTTATTTTTTCGGAACTTAGAAAATCGTTTCCCCATTAACTTACGGGAAAGAAGCTGACACAATTTTTAAACCCTCTTTTGTTTGTTTAACTTTTTTCAAGAAAAATATCGGTTACGCAAAAATTACCCACACGTAGGTTTACTGTATAGTTTTCGTTCAGAATCAGACGAACAGTGTTTCACTCTATATTATATTCATCATCAGGACAGGTTTAAAAGGTTTAAAATGATTGAAAGTTAAAGGAAAACAAGTTGATATCACAGAAGCATAAGTAAATATATCAATGAATGAATAATGTATCAGACTTCAGTGTTTGATAAAGCCTAAAATTCTCATATATTATGAAGTATTTTAATTCAACCATGCGTTGAAAGCATGTTTAAATAAGTGCACGAAGATATATGTTTTAATAATGGACTCTCCCATGCCCCCATTTCTATACTAACCTCTTTGTATAAAAGGCTGTTTAAAAACTAACGATCAGAATAAAGCTTCCAAAGTAAATATTCGGCGTTGTATAGGTATTACAATATCTTAAATATGAAGGGAAAAAATCGTAATTTGACCACGTTTTAGCATCACTAACATCATATGTCTTAGGGTACGTGTTTCTGTGTTTGGTGGCGGGGTCTCATCTGGAAGGAGAAAGCAGGTCACTGAAATTTGTTCCTATCTTTATGATGTGTCATAACATTTTTGAAGTGTGTTGATGTCAGGGGTGGGGAGACATCATTTTAAGAATTCGGCGTGACTGTTATACTAACATCTCCCCTAATTACTTATTAATTTTATGATAAGGGAAACATGTAAAATTATTTTATTATTAAAATTATTAGTTTTTTTTTTTTGTTTTTTTTTGTTTTTCAGGAAATTGGACTTCTCAAGTATACTAAATGTTCGCGTTCCAAACTTTTCTTTCCAGAGATTTGTTTCTGGCAATGGGGAAATTTAACTTGATATTATTTCTAGATACAACACTAGCCATTTTTGTTCAAGTGACGTAGTTTTCTTATTTTTTTTTATAGCTATTTTGTTTGTTTAAACTTCATGCCTGCAGAAAACGAGGTTGCAGAATATGATAATAATGGATTATCCTATCCTACAAATTTCCATACTAATCTCTCTTTATAAAAGGCTGTTTAACGGCTAATGATCGGTTTAGGAGAATAAAGCTTCCAAAGTTAATATTCGGCGTTGTCTATTCATTACAATATCTTACATATGAAGGGGAAAAAATCGTAACTAATTTGACCACGTTTTAGCATCACTGACATCATATGTCTTACAGTACGTGTTTCTGTGTTGGGGGAGGGGGTCAACAGGAAGGAGAAAGCAGGTCACCGAAATTCGTTCCTATCTTAATGATGTGTCATATCATTTTTGAAGTGTGTTGAGGTCAGGAAGGAAGACAGCATTTTAAGAATTCAGCGTGACTCTTATACTAACATTTCCACTAATTACTTTAACGACACTTGCATAATGTTGTGTGACCTGACTACATATCCAGAAAATTGGCCTATACCTCACTCATATTATAGTTCAAACGATAAAAATATATTCGATAAAAAAAATATACTAGGATCTTGAATTTTAAATAAAATATATAAAATTTAATAATGTCGTTTTTTGACGTATTTTTAACGTCAAAAACGACATCAGACAACATAATAGTATTTCAATAAATTTATTAATATCATTCTGCTGAGTGGACACATTTTACATATATTTTTTTATTTATTACCATTTAGTATGTTTGTTTAATGGCATCTCGTCTCCTTATGTGACCTTTTATGCCGAATTTAATTTTCTTTAGTAATTTCTCTTACAAAAATATATTGCTGGTAATATGTTTTTCTTACAGAAATGTATTGCTGTTTTTTTTGTTTGTTTGATTTTTTTATTGTTTTGACCCTAGTTGACTATTTACCAATAGCTGAGAAACCTAATAGCTGGTGACAGTGTGGACCTAAGAACAACGACAATTAAAAGGTAGTTCCAAGCTCCTCAAAACCTACCAAACAGGATACCATTTAGAACAGTCCAAATTAAATTGCCAAATACGAAAAAAAAAAAATTCTATTTTGATGTAACCGGATGAATCCATATCAAAATTTTGCGAATTCCGTATCTCTAATCTTCTTCTCTATGTTGTGTCCATACAGGACGTTGGGCATCACGACACTTCACAATTTCTTGTCCTTTGTAGCTCTTAATGATCTCATTTTGTTATCTCTTCTAAACTTTGTTTCACCATTCATTTACTGAGATCCGTTAGGTAGGTAATGTGTTATATTCCTATATCTCTCTTGCCTTTAATCTGTCCTTTGAGTATCAAATTTCCAAACCCTCGTCCCTCTGCCCTAGAAATTTCAACCGTCTCCTCCGGTATAAATGTTTATTTTGCTTATATTTTCACTAAAACTTCGTCGTTGATCACATATTCGTTATATAGTATTCTAAGCATCCTTCTGTAAAACGATATTTCTGTTACATCAAGTCACTTCCTGATCTATGAGGATATTATCCAGCATTCACTACCATATAAGAAAACTGATATTACATAATATCCTATTTTCATAGTTTCTAAAGATTTTTTTAAAATAGTTTGCTTCGATTTTTGAAGACATCTTTAGTTATGTCAATCCATATTTGGATGTCTGTTCTCTGTTATAACACTTCCCAGATATCTAAATTGTTGAACTTTGCTATCTTTAATTTTTAATTGATATGTTAGGCAGTTCTTTTTGCAAATAACCAGTTATTTAATCTTTTTACAATTGGCGTTTATACACTTTATTGTCACTTCTATTCGCCAAATTCTGAGGTGGTTGTTGTAGATTGCTTTCTGTGTCTGCTAACAACATTTCCTGATTTAAACAAATACACTCAAATCCAGAGAGATAAAAAGCAAGATAAGTTGTTTTTTTTAATCATAAATTAGCGTAACAGCTGCGCTTCGTCACGCCTTTTAATTTGGGCCCCCGACCCAAAACTAAAGGAACTTCAAGTCCAGCTTAGTAAACAGCAATGATAATTTTTAATAAATAAACTGGAATTCCTAAATTCACACCATGGAACTTCGAAACCTCACCTTAATTCCGGCTACAAGATACATTCCAAAAGAGCGATTTGGGTCGAAAATCCAATTCAGGCCGAAAATTGCATTCTTCAAATCACAATTTCTGTGAAACTACAACTGAACGGAAATCTTCAAATTACAAACACTGCGGAAGTTCAAATCTACAAGACACGAAACCTTTCATTTTAACTCTGATTCCTTGTCATCTTGAAGAAATAAAATTGATTTCCTCACATCAGAAAGTTTTGGAGATATTTTAAACTGAATTTAAATCATTTTTTTTATAAAATTCAGAAGGTTTATGTGTTACTTTAGACTCAATATAAATTTACAAAAAAAATTTAAATCTCTAACTTATAGTTATTTTAAAATTTGAAATTTTAACAGTTCCTTCCTCATCCGGACAAAAATCCCAATGTTGGATGTTCAAGCACCAGATAAAAAGCAGATTTTCAATTCAGGGATCATCCTGATTCCAAAAAGTTATATGTCTATAGAGAACAAGTGTGTCCCAAGATAGAGAGGTTTCAGACACACGGATGGACAGACAGAATTTGCCATTATTTATTTAGATCGATGTAGATGTAAACTGATATTTCAAAACATTATGGTACTTGAACAATAAGGTGTAGGTTCTCATTTCGCCCGCAAAACAACTATTAGCTTATTATTAAAGGTTTCATAGAGAATTTAGGGCCAGCAAGTTAACTGCCGTAAATTGGTGCATAGCATATACATAGTAAATGAACTGGTTGTTTCAATGCATAAAATATGTGAACAATGAAGTATTGTTATACTCATTAACTATATAATTCCACTCAGATTCGATATCTTGGTTTAAAATGATTTTTGTTTTAAATGAAAATTTTTGAAGCATTCTTTTTAGCTTTAACTGAAAGGTAAATGATTACGTTTACTATTTCCAGCAAGCAAACTACTCTGGTGTATTTCAAATAGAAATTATATTGTTTAAAATCGCAACTTTTTCTCGCTTTCAGAAATCGTTTAAATTCAGCTAATTTTTTAGACATTTGTAAAAAAAAATTAATTCCTGGTTTTAAGAATCTTCCAAAAATAAGATATATTTTTCTGAAACTTCATTTGAGAAATATTAGCTGGTTTAAGTTTAATTAATCTGATTTAAAAAATACTTTACGTTTAAAATAACAGAGAAATGGATTTTAAAGCGACATTAAGTGCTTGTCATAGATCACTTGACGAGATGCTAGTACTGTCATTATTGTTCTAAGGAGACCTTATCTGCTAAGATATAATTTAAGAAAATGGCGGGTGAACACTTTTTATATAATTTTTAAGTACTCAGTAGTCTTTAAAATGTAGGAAAATCTTCTCTGTAATCTAATTTTAGGAACGTTGAATTTAAATTTACTATAGTCATAGCTCTTATTTCTTATTTATGTCATTTAAGATCACCATACTTTCAAACAGGGGCGCGTTACTTATACAAAAAAAAATAAATTAAATTAAAAAAAAAATATTGTGTTTAAGAACTTTTAATGGGCTTTTCAATTTTTGGTTCGTAAATATAATTTTCACGTAATGACAATATAAGTTAACTGCCTAGATGTAATGCAGAATTTTTAACGGTTTTATCATATTATAAATAATTTAATTAAAATTTAGAAAAAGTGAAAGCAATTCTTGTAAAAATTAATTATTCATCTAAAGTAAAGTTCTTGTTAGTGTTCTGAATAAATTTTATTTATAAAAGCAATAAAAATATTTCCTAATTAAGTAATGTCATAGTTTTATTGCGTTTTTATTTTACGATTCAAAACAGATTTTCGATGACTGGGTTAAATGCTTTGCCAAAAAAATAGATGATTTACATTCTCCAAGGTGTCCTGCTTTCAAATAATAAAACAAATTTTGAAACTAAAAATTGAATTTCTCGAAATTTTATGAAATTAGATAAGTGGGTGTTAACATATGTAAAAAACAAAACAAAACATTTTTATGAAAATTTTCTAAAAAAAAAAAAATAAGGAAATAATTTCATTCATTTGAGAATATGTCCCGAATCTTTCACGAAAATACGACAATTATTTGCAAGAATTTACAAACCACTGTCTTTTTCACTGGGAAAAAAAAAACGCAAAACACAGACCACTGGCGTAAAGAAAACAATATATTCAAGCAATATTTCGAATGTATTGGAAATTATTAAAAAATCTTTTAAAAAATAGCCAGAAAATACTTCCGTCTTTCCTATTAATAATAACAAATATTTTGATGATAAAACTTTGTTTTGGCCGTATTCTCTTTTTCAGTGTAGGTACCTACATTAAACCAACCCAGAGAATTTGTACATTTTGACAGAGCACTTTTTTTTCAGATGTTTATCGTTTCCATCGAGGAGAAATATTATCAACTGTTTTACCGTATCATCAAAAATGTGATAATATTGTCCCAAAACACTCATAGGCAAATTCTGACCCGCGGTTCAAATGATGTCCGATTGGCCTTCTGAATAACACGCTTTAATTTCATAAGTAAAAAAAAACATCTATTAAAATATTCTTTGTTTCCTTTCGTTCACGATGGTTCACTCACGCACACATACGTAACGACATGATTAAACAATGTTTATGGAAATATTTGTTTAAAATTTCTCACTTTTCGTTGAATGCAACTTTGTCAGCATTTAAACCTTCTTTTGCAAATAGTGCTGTATTGTCAAATGAATAAATTAGAAAAAAAATATCACACGCAGTACCGTATGGTAATTACTGTAATCAATGGTAATATATCAGGACATCAAAACTTTTTTTTATTGTAGAAAGAATCTTTTCTATAAAGAAAAAGATCTCCATTTCTAAAGGAGTTACTTATGCACATAGATCTACTTGGGAGTGGGAGAGAGGCTGTAGTATCTTTAATGAAAAATTACCTTAATTATTATTTGTTTTTAAGTTCGGCCCGATATATGATAGAATACTGTTGCCATATATGATCTCGTGCCCCGCTGTTCATCTCAAGGTCCTCAACAATATCCAGAGACGGATATGCAATGTGATAGGTCCTGATCTGTCATCTCGTCTACAGTCACTTTCTCACAAACCTGATGTGGCTTCCGTCTGACTTTCTACAAATGTTGTCATGGAAACTGCTCTGACAATCTATTTTCAATGGTAACAAAACTGTATGAATTTAAGCGTGCTAACAAGTTCACATCACGGCCCCACTCTTTCACTGTCGAAATGTAACCGCTACTTCTACTTTTACAGCTTTGTCTCTCGCCCTTCCAGACAGGGAAACTCCATTCCTCTTACTTGCTTCTCTGATAACTATAATCTTCAAATATATAAATGTAATGCAATCGATATCTTCTGATGCCTTCATCTTAATCCCCTTCCTTCTCTTTAGCCTTTTCATCAAACACCTCTCTTTACCGTTAATTTCACTCACTATAACCCCTTGCGTGCTAGTGGCACTCTCGCATTGTTTGGGGCGGATGCTTAAAAATAGCTCTTCCTCATGCGGTCTTCTGTTCGAAAACGGTTGCTCATACCTGCTATAAGATATACTCCACGTGTGCGACAGTGCCGAGAACATACCAGTAGAAATCAGATCAAACAATCACACAGGCAACGTAATAGTAATTGGTTTTGTACAAAACATTTTGGTAGCATCGATTTCCTAAAGATATATTTAACCAAACATCATCATATTTCCTAAGAAAGCAAAACAAAACGAATAAAATAAAGTTTTTCACTTGTTTCTATGTAGAGTTCCAAGTCGGATTCAACGATAAACATTGATTAGCATGACCAATATAACAGGACATCGGCTATGCAGCCATTTGCACAAGCAAATCAATATACTTTGTGTTTGGGCTCATTTCTTTTTATTGGTAACTTGATTAAATCCATCAGCACTTTGTATCAGAATAGCCGATAAGGTTCTAGTGGGGGAAAAATAAAGCTACTCAATTTATTGCATCGATATGTTCTGGCTGTCCAGTGCCTTTTTAGCAGTTATTGATAAGCGTTCTTGAGACAACTATCTATCTATCTACCTATCTATCTATCTATCTATCTATCTATCTATCTATCTATCTATCTTCTATCTATCTAACCCTTGTTCCTTATCTGTCTCCCTGCACTTTCTCCTTATCTTTCTCCTTGAACCTGTTTATCTATCCCCCAGCACCTGTTCATTTTCGCTCTACACCTGTTAATCTTCTCTACACCTTCTATCTATCTATCTATCTATCTATCTATCTATCTATCTATCTATCTATCTATCTACATCTGTTTCTTATCCATCTATCTATCTTCATCTCGTATCTATCTATATATCTATCTATCTACATCTGTTACTTATCAATCTATCTATCTACACCTGTTAATTTTCTTTCTATCTATCTATCTATCTATCTATCCTAATATATCACGCGTTTGACCATATTAACATTATTTATAGATATTCACGGTATACAATCTTTCCATCACACGTTGTGTAACTTTACATTTTCTAATAGATTTCCCCTTCATACGAATGCCTTCTGCAACTGTTTCCTTTTATACAATGTTAAAAAAATGACGTTCCAGTATTAATTACACTCTATCCACTCAAATAATGATCTTGTAGTCGTTGAATATTCAAACATAACAACGCATTTTATGGAATACCTAATCCAATCATGTCAACTATAAACATTTTATGGTACGGTGTCATGCAGCGAGATATTGAAGAAGATATATCAGCATAAAACAGCAGTAATTTTAAAATCTAAAATTATTGTTTTAATGATATTTAGGTGGGGAAATAATCAGTTTGAACAAAAGCGAAGGCAAATCAAATTATATTTTATCAAACGTAATGGGAAGCAGTGCACAAATCGATAATCGATTTTTGCATATAATTAAATCAACCAAGAACTTAGGTGTGATTTATGAGAATAAAAATATATCCTGTCGGTTGGCAAACATGTATTTAGCAAATAACACGAACGACCAATAAACTACACTTACCACCCCAGCTTTCTGTCTTAGTCCGTTCATTATCTATTTTCGTTAATAGACTATCTCTGAGTCTATTTATCAGAGCTACCTGGTTCTATATGTCTAGTCATTATCTATCCTATTCTCTTCACTATCTATCTATCTATCTATCTATCTATCTATCTATCTATCTATCTTTGTATGTTCATATATATATATATATATATATATATTCATATATATATATATATATATATATATCTATCTATCTATATTTGTATGTTATATATATATATATATATATATATATATATATATATATTCATTAATTATCTATCTATCTATCTATCTATCTATCTATCTCTTTGTATGTTCACATATATATATATATATATATATATATATATATATATATATATATATATTCATTAATTAGTTGGTATCTATCTATCTATCTATCTATCTATCTTTGTATGTTCATATATATATATATATATATATATATATATATATATATTCATTAATTAGTTGGTATCTATCTATCTATCTATCTATCTATCTTTGTTTGTTATGTTCATATATATATATATATATATATATATATATATATATATATATATATTCATTAATTAGTTGGTATCTATCTATCTATCTATCGATTTTTATATTTTCTCTCTCATATATATGTGTGTGTGTTGCAATTGATAAATTATCGGCTAAATTACGCAAAAATGAAAATAATACTGACACCTTATTTTAACGGATATATTTATCAAACCTACGCGAAAATATTGTGTAATATTAAAGACGAAATTTATGCAATAAAATAGCCATTGGCTTAAGCCACTACCGTCAACAACAAATTAGGAAGTTCTTTTTTCTTATCAGAACGATCAGAATCTTTTCCCTAATCCTTTGTACTGTCCTCAGATTGACAGCCAAACACTCTAAAATGTTCGTATTGAAATTCCGCCGATAATGCCAAGCAGCACAGAATGCCTTTTTTAAAATTTCTGGCGCAAGGAATTGCGTCATAGTGGACTATTTATCAATAGCCCCCAAAAAAAAAAAAACAAAACAAAACAAAACAAAAAAAACAAAAAAAAAAAAATCAATGCCTCTGCGTGAAATAAAAATTGCGACAATTTACTAATCGCATCATATATATATATATATATATATATATATATATATATATATATATATATATATATATATATAATCATTGAAATAAAAGTTTAGGAAGGAAATCTAAATCAAGTCTTGAGAAACCCATTTTCCTGTATAATGTTTTGAAGTTAAATATCCTATAAATTTTAAAGGAGAATAGTAAAAACTGCGCTGTTAAGGAATGTCAAATGTTTTCTCATAAGGAAACTGTTATTACCATTACCATTCTTGTATCATTCAATCAGCAGAGAATTTTGGTCTGATTCAAAGAATAATAAGATATTTCTTCCGTTATTAACATAACCAACCAACCACCACACTGTTTGATGGGGTTCATCGACTTAAAGGTTGTTTTGTCTACTGATAATAATCCCGTTAAAATTTTACAGGTAAAGGATTTTATGTGTATAAACGAGATACGAATACACGCAGATTTGGGATTTAAGTGATTCGTAACAAGTCGTATGAAATGATTAGATACTTCAGAAGTCTAGGATGCATTTATTTGGTCGTTGTTTTATTTAAAACAACCATAAAATTAAGGCTATAAGATCAGATACGCTGTTCTTAATTTCATAGACAAAAGATTGGGATAAGAAATAATAGAGATTCAGTTCCAAAAAAGATTATATAACATTATTTTACCCCATCACTGTTTCGCATGCCATCGGCTAGGTAATGGATAGGATGGCAATTCGGTGGGTATTGATGTTGCCCAGAAAATAATCGTTTGTTTCTTGCCCTCCTTGGAGGACGTTTCTAATTCCCGTTAAGGCAAAAAGGGCAGAAAACAATGAAAGCTTATACGCAATTCGGGTAGACTTGTTTGATCTTTTACCCTCAGCGTGAGGTTTATATTTATTAGTTCTCGGAAAAATCGCTAGGGGACAGTATTTTTCCTTGAGCCCTGTTTAAAAATAAACGCAGCAACACAATGACGATTTTAAACGTATTTTAAGCGGAAACATTTTCATTATTGTGTGTGTGTGTGTGTGTGTGTGTGTGTGTGTGTGTGTGTGTGTGTGTGTGTGTGTGTGTGTGTGTGTGTGTTTTTGCGTGTTTGTGTATATATATGTTTTGTTTATTTTTGTGTTGGTGCACGAGGGGAATGCAGTTCAATTTCATTGCGCTTTAGACAATGGCAAGTAAAGCAAATAAATATGGCGAAGAAATTGCTCGCAGCATGAGAATATCAGCGGAATCCATCTTGAAAATGCTGCATATAAACATTGGGAGATAAATGAAAAAGACCCGCTTTTTAAAGTGATTGAATTATTTCTTCTTCTTCTTCTTCTTCTTCTTCTTCTTCTTCATCTTCATCTTCTTCATTTCATCTTCTTTTTATTCTTCTTCTTCGGAAATTAGGATCAAGACTCTCTACAACGCATTGTGTAGCCTTTAGCCAACTTTATCTTTTTGCTATCCTTTTTGTCCCTGTTTTGAAAACCATTTACCTAAGCTCGTTAGGCCGATCATTCGCTGCTGACTACTGTCCTTCTTGCCTTTCGATATATCCTGTGAGTGTGACATTCTCCAACCTATTTTTCCACATTTTATGACCTTGCAATTTCAGTTATCTTTGTTACTGTTTTACTTACAACTTCATCATTGTTTCCATGTTATTCCATGATATTCTAAACATCGTTCTGTAGCAAAAAAATTCTGTCACCTCAAGTCTCTTCATTTGTGAGGGGATTGTCCAGCATTTACTGCTATATAAAATCGCAGATATTACATAATAGTTCAAACCTAATTTTCTTTTCAAAATTTTACTGTTTCTTAATACTTTGCTTAACTTTTGGAAAGCACCTATTTCTATTAAAACGCGCCTGCGGATTTTAGTGCCATGGTCCGTCCGACGTTTAATTGTTTGTTTGTTTAGCGACACATCATCTCCTTGTGGGACATGTAATCCTGAACACGTGTGTGTGTGTGTGTGTGTGTGTGTGTGTGTGTGTGTGTGTGTGTGTGTGTGTGTGTGTGTGTGTGTGTGTGTGTGTGTGCGTGTGCGCGCGCGCGCTCAGTATCTGTGATAGAGCTAACGTTATGCGTTTGCATGGAGTTGTTTGTTTTGACATTAGTTTTCATGATTCGGCGATCAATCGTGAAAAAATCTCTTTTAAAAAAAGATAATTTTTGGAGATAACCTCTTTCCTTGTCCATGAACGGCACTTAACTCCAGGTGTCAATATTAGTAAGAGAAAATGTTTGAAATTTATCGTATGAAAATTTATGTCTGAATTTTAAAAGATTAATTATCCTTGTGCACCTATTTTTCGAACAGACATGTTCATCTCGACTGTTATATTCACAATATATCTGATGTTATAACCTGTGACCGTCTTCAAATATCTGTTGTATTCGTTGAAAATTTACGAATTTTGATCCGTACACTTTATTCAATACAAAATGGTGATTCTTCGCTTTCCATTCGCAAGTGATATTTCTAACGTATAATGACTCCGCAGATTTATTCCCCATGGCGATGCTAGTTTTACTTCGTAATTATAACATATCTCTTTCATTGGAAGTTGGCATTTCAATCTCTGTTCTGTTGTACATAAAAGTCAGATGTTCTTGTTCATAGGGAAAAAGGACAGGCGAGATAAAGGGTAACACGTACGGCGATTATTGACTGACATAAGATATTCCCTAAGCAGAAACGACAGAATGAGTACAATTTATCTCTATGGATTAAATGAAGGCGACAGATTCAAATTCCTAGACATTTCTTGGACTAGACGACAGGCACCTAATGCACGAGGAAAGACAGAAAATGATATACGTTGTTGCTATAACAGCCAATGTAACCAAACGCACGCGAATTGAATGGTATATAATTATGAGTGATGTTTCAAAACGTGAAGCAACAGTAATGTTGTTTTACAGAAATAGACTTAGAAAAGACCCTTAGAACATGTGACCCTGGGAATGACGATAAACTACATCCCACAACAAGACCTCTGATTGGGAGATTGTTTTTGTGAACCGTGGAACAACCACTTAATCGTTGTTGTACCTAGGTCCACCATGACCTGTGTTAGTGACACGTTAGGGTCCCGTCTTTGGGCAAATACCTAACAGAAAAAAAAACAAATAAAATAGTATAGTATGTAATATCAATCTTCCTATATGGTAGTGAATGCTGGATAATATCCTCACAGATCAGGAAGTGACTTGATGCAACAGAAATATAGTTCTACAGGAGGATGCTTAGAATACTCTATACCGAATATGAGATCAACGACGAAATTTTACACAAAAGATAAGCA